TCGACGACATCGTCGTTCTGAAGATAACGACTTTTGAATCACTGCAATCGGATAACCGAGCTGTACGAAATCTCAATTGTTCTCTCTCTCCCATCTAAATCTGCGCAGCCCTCTACAAACTCTCAAGTTACTGTTCATCCAAAAAAACAAATATAATGATACTCTTCACGTGCCCAATTCCTTTAATAAAGAAATTTTATCCCTAAGTCCTGTTATTCTTCAGGTGCCCAATTCCTTTAATAAAGAAATCTTATCCCTAAGTCCTCCTTTTCTATTCAAATTATAAGCAGGTCTCTCAAATACTTTTCTTAGTAGGATACAACCAATTTGACATAGTTTTTGTGGGCCCTAATTAGGCTGGACCCACAACAAGTTGAGGTTTTTTTAATACTCCAGACGACAAAACTCTTCTTACCTTGTACGGTTTGGAGTATATGATATGTATAATTGCTAACATGAAAATGGGTGAACATTCCTACTATTTTGTGTTTTTTGAAATAAAGGTTGTTCCTCTCATTTCACTAATTTCATTAGGACCTAGTTCAACAACAATAAACACAATTTTCTCCTCATTATTTCGAGTCTCGTAGGTTATCTTTTTTTTTAACAACCAAGTATGATATTTCCTCAAACAAAGTAACCATGATTTATGTAATTCCCGATTACCACAAGGAAGCTAGAGTAGTACTCATTAGTAGTTCTTGTTGGATTAAAATCTACAGGGAAAAAGATCCTAAAAAGAGCCGGGATGCATGTACTTTCAATCAGTACAAACAGCACATAATATCAGTGCAAACAATATCAGTTAAAATATCAACACAAACTGAATATGGTTTCGGTACAAACAGTTGAAATATTAGTGTAAACAAAATATTGTATAATTCAATACAATCAACCAGGGTCTGGACATTTGAGAACACATGGCATGTCTCCAAGAAAACAGGTACATATATACATGATTCTATTACCAATGTGAAGTCCCTCTCTCGTGTAAAGCATCAAATTGTTTGATCCTCTATTTGGCTTGTATTCAAGTGATCCATTCAAAGTTGCATTCGTGCAATGAACCTTGACTAGGGAATTAAGGAGGGGGGAGACAAAGTGAAGGGATGGAGAAAATGAGTTATCATTGATTTAGTGGTATTAATTTGGGTTTGGGTTATTGTGGTTGGAAGAAGAATATTGTGATTTGTGAGGTCGGAAGTGGGGGCCATATTAACGTGATGTTGGATCTCTTCTCTTGGTCATGTGTTGGTTGCTTTATGATTTTTCTCTTTTTATTCAAAAGCATTAAGGCTGGAAAAAAAGGAATTTAGCATTTAAAATCACAAAGATTAAGAAAATGTGGATATCAATGAGGGGATGTAGCTCATATGGTAGAGCGCTCGCTTCGCATGCGAGAGGCACGGGGTTCGATTCCCCGCATCTCCAGTCATTTCGCTTTTTGTAATCCTTTTTTAAGGATTTATACAATGCTTATTAGTTCGTTATTTTTTTTTCTTTCACTCTAGGTATTGACATGGATAAGGGGAGAAATGTATTATAATACTGATTTATTTTGCAAATACATAAAATATTGTTTATTGTTGTATTTTGCATATGCAATACTAGTTTCTTTTTCCAACTCTAGGTGTTGATATGGCTGAGGAAAGAAATGAATACAGTAGTTTATTTTGCAAATGCATAAAATATTTTTAATCGGATAATTTACTTATCGTTTGTTACGAACCATTCAAACTCAGACTGAATAGAGATACGAATGAGATTCATGTCAATTGCATTTAACTAAGTTCTGTATTAACTTTTTGCCAAAAAAAAGAAAAAAAAAGAGCTCAATATTAACAGTCAACTACCTCTATTTTACCTTGACTAACAGCACTTAACCTTTTGGAGTTACTTAATATTTGTACAATATATATAATAGCATTTCACAATTAATATTTTTCAAAGCATTTTTCTAGACATGCATAACTCGTGCTCAAGCAGCTAATCTATATCTATACTATTTATAAAAGAGAATATGGGTGTCAAAACTTTTGACTTCCTATTTTGCTCTTCTTAATATTTATAATTCCTATGTTTGATAATTCCTCAATTCACTTAATTAATGATCCCTTATCCCTCATCCACTAGCAATAATTCAATGCATAAATATTTTATTAGAAATTTTAATGCATAAGTTTTTTATTATGAAAGTCAAAGCATAAGTTACTCAATTCAAGAATCTTCCCTCATTTGTTTTCTTCTTTTACAATTATTTTTAAATTTGTGTGTTAGTTGTATAAAATTGACTGTATATAAATTTGATGGTTATATACACATACACATATATAAACTATATAATATGATTGCTTTACGACAAATAAATAACATACATTGATAAATAATAATATAACATATAAAATAATAGTTCATAAAAAATATTTTAAAATAATATTAAACAAATTACAAATAGAATCTACAAAAAATTTTAATTTTATATAATTAAACATATTAATATTATATTTATCGGAAGGTGCATAAACCCTTCAAGTCAAACTAATATTGTTGACGACACAAAAGATAAAAGATTCATCTTTTTTTTTAATCTTTGACCGCATAAAGTGCATCTTTCAATAATGCACATGTCCCGTTGTTACTGTATGACACTAAAATTTCTCTTTTGTAATGGAGAAATAATATAAGTGAAGTAGTGTAGCTATCATTATATTTTTTATTTAAAAAATTTGAACTTGAGGATTTATGGGCATCGCGAGCATCAGGTTTAGGCTTTTTGTCTGAACTTCCTAGCAAAAACCAAGTGCCATCTAAAAAAGTATTTAAGATTTATTAAAAGAATAACTACCGAAATATCACATTTATTAATATTAGCTATAAATTTTGGATTTTCATTTTGATAAAAAAAGATATTACTAATTATTATACAAGTATGCCCACGTGTAAAGCACGTGTACTATCCTATTACTTATAAAAGAGAACATGGATGTCAAAACTTTTGACTTCCTATTTTGCCCCTCTTAATATTTATAATTTCTGAGTTTGATAATTCCCCAATTCATTTAATTAATAATCCCTTATCCCTCATCCGCTAGCATTAAATCAATGCATAAATCTTTCATTAGGAACTTTAATGCATAACTTTTTCATTGTGAAAGTTAATGCATAAGTTACTCTATTCGATTAGCCACTATCCATTGTGATTAATACCTTTTGAACTTCTGATGTAAAGACCAACATTCACTATCCTCCAAATTGTAGATTTTATTGCAATTACTCTTTCAACTACTTTTGCTGATCATTACTCCATTCGTTCAAACCTTGAAGACCTACTTAACCTCCATTATTTATTCAAACTTCTAAGGTATGCCCATGTTAATTTTTTTCTTTGTATTTTGTAATTGTATGAAATTGGGCATATATTCTCTTCAATTCTTTGGATGCCCCCCCCCCCCCCCCCCCCCCCCCCCCCACCCCCCCCCCCCCCCCCCTTTCTCTCTCATTATTTTTCTAACACGGGTTGTAATTTTATCTCTCTATAGGTCAATTGCTCTTCTCAAAATCATAATAACAAGATCATTCCGTAAAACTTACAGCCTCCCTAGAGATCTAATTTGTAATTCATTTTAAATTTCAAAACATTTTATATAATTCCTCTTTATCCCTTCATATTTTATTTAATTCCTTCTCATTTTTACTCCTCCATATTTTAGTTGATTTCATATTTTAATTCATTAGGGTCTAAAACAATTTCATTCTAAGTTATATATGCCAGCACTGATAAGATTTTTCGCACTTTTATTTCCTTCTTTTGCAATTATTTTTAAATTTATATGTTAGTAGTATAAATTTGGGTGTATATAAGTTTGATGGTTATATATACACATACACATATACAAATTATATAATATGATTATTTTATGAAGATAAAAAATATATATTGATAAATAATAATGTAATATATAAAATAATAATTAATAAAATTTTTAAAAATAATATTAAACAATTTATAAACAGAGTCTATAAAAAAATTTAATTTTATATAACTAAATATTTTAACATTATATTTATTTAAGGTTAAACTGACATTATTGCCGGCACAAAAAATAGAAGATTTATCTTATTTTTTTAATCCTCAATAGAAAAAATTGCGTATATTAATGATGCAAATGTCTCTTAGTAATTGTTAGATATTAAAATTTTCTTTCTTGTAGTAGAGATGTAATGTAAATAGAGAAGAATAGCTATCACAAGATATTTAATTTAAAAATATTAAATTTGAAGATTAATGGGCATTACAAGCATCAAACTTGGGCATTTTGCCTGGACTTCCTAACAAGAATCAAGTTCCATCACAAAAAGTATTAAAGATTTATTAAAAAAATAACTACACAAATATCACATTTATAATATTGGCTATGAAGTTTTGACTTCTATTTTTAATAAAGAAAATATTACTAATTATTTCATAAGCATACTCACGTGCAAAACACGTGCACTTTACTAGTATAATACAATACAAGCAAGGATATCAATGAAATATTATTAAACCACATTGCAAATTACCTGAGAGAGAATGTAAGGTTTCAACTTTCAGTTGTTATCCTTTCACATTAAATAGCCAACATATATTTAAGATTGCACTAGCTATTGATTGTTTAAATACATGATTAAAAAAAAAAACCTTTCTCCATTACACCTCACACAGCCAGATTTCATGGATGCATTCATTTGTTACTGGAATACGGTCTAAATCCACTGCATTCCTTGGAGAAACCATTGAGTTCTCTGTTAAAACAAAATACTCCACTTTTGCTCCTCACATGTAAAGATAAATAAATATCAGAACTTCATACATCAACAAAACCAAGAGGATACACATCAAACATCACTGATCAATCCATCAGCGACGCTTAGAAAAAGTATCCACAATATAAACACAGCCGTGCTTCATTTTCAATATCTCAATATGGACTAAATATGAACAAGAAGCATAAAAAAGATCAAAACAAACAAGATGAATCTATTCAACTGATATCACAGGCAATTATTAGCATATAACATGTTCATTAAAGCAGCATACCTCAATAGAATTACTTACATAATCTCATTACAATGAAGATCTCATCTTCAGACACTACATCTTCACATTAGTTACACGGTGAACACTGGCTATCTACCATAAAGCAATTACCAACATATTGAGTGTGCTGAGACCTCACGACGGGAAAGGTGAAACCCGAAGCCATAGAAATGAGATTTCAAATATATAGCCAACCACATGATTAAAACTGAGGCAAAGAGAAGACGGTAACAGCTTGAGCAAAGAAACAATTAACATGCAAGTATTCAGACAATTGCGAAAGACACTCCAGGATGGTACCAGTCAATAAAGGCAACACAACGATCCATGGTTTAAAAAAAAAGGCTTCAAAAGATAATCTGAATATAGTGAGGGAATGAAATTATTATAATTTTGAGATCCAAACTCAAAACATCTCAGAGATCATTTAGTACGGGAACACTTCATAATGAACCAGACAAGTAGTCTGGAAAGTAAAGAAGAGGAGCTACAAAACAACAAACAAGTTTAAGTTCATTTTGGTTCTAGATGCCATCCACCGATTCTCAAAAGATATATATGATACACAGAAAAGAAACTATGGAAGAACCTAAAAGCAAGAACACAATCATATTGAAAAGCTGCAGATCATCACGAAAAATTCGACTCAAGTGGCCAGGCACAATAATAACGTTGAGATCACGGAATCATGCATAAAGCTATAAACTTCAAGCTAACAACTAACTTATGATCAATCAGGAAAGATGCTATTATGAGAAAAATCAAGTATCTATGGGAAAAATCAAGTATTGGGAAAGGTAAACTCTATACGGAGTATCTGACATCTTAATTCGAAGCGTGTCAACAGTTGAAGGGATACAGTTTCAACAGGAGAAGATGGGAAGGGGGAAAACAATACATTTTAACCGAAAATATTGGAAGAGCAAACAAGACAGTAGGCATGTCATAGTAGTTAGGTACAGGACCTTAGTACTAGATGACAGGAGATAATGCAAGTATCAGGTTAGATAACAACGAAATCCTCGACCCAAATTTGCTAGGGTGGACTATGAGATAGATATGCATCAGATGTCAGCAACCCTAGTATTCTCTGATTAAAACATGCGACGGCAGTTAAAATTAAGATATTAAGTACGGTGCAGGAAGAGGTCAACAACGAAAGCTAACATCTGTTGAAGGATCTACATCTGACCCAGATTGCTTAGTTGCCCAAAGGAAATTTGACTGAAACAATAGACAAAAAGTGACATCAAAGTATATAATTATCCCCTGACAGAGAACAACAGTTTAAACAAATAATAGTGAAGAATTGGAGGGATCGGAGCAAGATCAGGTAATCACAAGAAAAAAAGAAGTAAATCAACTATCCTTAATCAAGCATTTGATAGGTAAATCCTTCCATGTTTATGTAATAGGTTTGTATCGAAACATAAAGTATTTATAGAGCAGGTAACTGAGGAGAAGCTTAAAACCAGGAAAGGCATCATGCAGCCCGTTTGAGAAGAATAGCATAAACAACAAAAAGTAGGAAAATAATGTCTCACCCTCAGATGAGAATACATAGCTCAAGACATCAAATACGTGAGATTTCCGTAATCTCAGATTGAGCTGGCACGGAAAAAAAGAACGATGAGAGAGTGATCCATTGGAAACAAGCCTTCTTGCAAACATAAACTAGAATCAAGGAGGCATATTGCTGACTCAAGCCATCATTGAGCATATTCTTAACACTTAATCAAGAACAGATAGTGACTAGGCAACAAAAGTATCTTCCAGTGTCCATGGAAGTAGTAAGGGACAAAACACTCAACGAACATATCGGTCGGTCCAAACATAAAAAGATAAACTGAGTTTAGTTCACTCTAGTAGGCAAACAAAGTACATGTTTCATTAAGAGACAACTTTACTATATACACCTAAATCCAGCAGAGACAGCGGGGACAAAATTCTTTACATTCTAAACACATTTGTGATGAGACCAGACGGATTTATACAAGGGTATCGGCAAATGTAGATAATGACAATAGTTCAACTTCAGATCAGAAATGAAGATTAATGATTGACATGGAAAATGGTAACTGAATTTCTGAGATTGCAAAAACAAGCCAAGGCTAACATTTAAGACGGGTCTGGCAATCTTTAAATAATATATCAGTATAGGTTCACTGACTGGTTTATTCCAACACATATCAGGACAATGTTGGCTGTTTACCATGGATATTGTGATGCCATACGACTCGCATGAATATCCTTCTGAAAGGAATTTTGAAGCTCAGATTTCAAATGCGATGGTAAACTTTAAATGAAGCTTACGATAAAATAGCATAAAGCTCAAAATAGTGGAATATTAACAAGAGTAACTGGCAAGAAGGGGAACAAATTGTATTACCTGGATTTGCTTTACCCTGCTGAGCACAGTGGCTACCATGGTTATCAAATGCCATCTAAGTCTGCTATTTTGTGAAAATAACTCAAGAAGAGACAATACTAGGTAAGGTAGTTCTAAATTTCAAAATGAAGCATTAGTAGAGGAAGAGAACAGATCTGCAGATAAATAAGCAGCTTACACAGGGGCAGAGAGAACCATTTAAATTGCGTTTCCACATGATTGAGGCCTCGATAAGAAAGGAGTGCACTGCGGAAGTGTTCATGTCTGCGGATCAGCTTTATATATAATTTACTTCCGCAACCTAAACCTAACCAGTACCTAGATGATTACATTTCCTCATCTGGTGATAGATCCACGAAAAAGAAACCAACCTATGCAACAAAATTCAGCTTATATAGAATGGATGAAGACTGCAAATCTATGCCAACGAATAGAAATAGAAACAAAAGTGGTTTCTCACAGGATAACATATCCCCACTGCAGGAACTACAAACCCAAATAATATACGCACAACAAGAAACAGGAAAGATAATTATCCACGTGATTTAGAATTCATCAGAAAGCTAGACAGGTTAAAACATCTGCATGCTAGCATACAGATAAACAGAAGGCAGAACATGCACATAATGAGCAAAAAGGAACACAAGTCAAATATGCCTTAAGAAGGGGAAAAAAACCAAACTGTTGGGATCACCGTGAGATATCTCACAGAATAACAAACACAATAATATTGCTGGAGTCAGTTGTGAAGGAAGAGACTTAACATGAAGGAATAATAACATATTGACTAATAGAGAACATTGACATCAATCACAAGAGAGTGTGTGGAAAGTCACATGAAAGGGCGAAGCAATAGACAAATATAGCCAGCAGGCAGCAGCTCTTGAATGAAAATAATAGAGTGTGAACTTTCACCCCTCCTCCAAACTGATACCAGACATCCTACCAATAGAAATTTATGATTACAGAAAATAATATCTGCTGACATGATGACAGCAACATATTAGTGGGAAAATCTTACTAATATAGCAGAGAAGAGGTGGGCACGAAAAGATAATCAGCAGAATATACGTAGAAAATAGAGCAATATAATAGTCATTTAAAAGACACAGAACCAGGAAATGTTATATATCCACCAGATAGAGAAGTATAGGTCAATAAAGGAAAAGTATCAAAGAACCTAAACTACTATGACATAAAGAATCCTTGCACTAGAATCTCCCAAAGCATGGTAGCTGAGAGATGATATTGAACTGACCCAATATGGAAGGCAAGGAAGACCACAGGACTTATAAAGTTACCTTCCAAGTACAAAGAAGAAACTAAAAGAATAGGACATTTGTAAAAAGGACACTACGAGATAAAGCGAAGACAACTCGACTGGACATTCAATACAGCTGCCAGATTAAGTCGCCAAGATAAATGCCTGAATCATATTTTCTGCTGCACGCTTCTGCTCAGGGTTTCCAGATATCCGTGCAATGCGCTCGTGTCGTGATGATTTTGAATCAACAAGTTCTACGTCAGCTCCGGACAACTGCATCAATCACAGGCAAGGAAAGTATGGTCAAGACAGAAATCGTGAAGTGTCACAGAACTATTCACCTATATACTTAGTTTTAAAACAGAAAAAAGAACATTGCAAAATGGTTAGGTTGCTCCGGACAACTGCATCAATCACAGGCAAGGAAAGTATGGTCAAGACAGAAATCGTGAAGTGTCACAGAACTATTCACCCATATAATTTGTTTTAAAACAGAAAGAAGAACATTGCAAAATGGTTTGGTTTTGTGAATAAACTAGCGGAAAATTGCTACCCACAAATTAATATATAGTTTCTGTCAATCAGTGAGAATTACTATTACTATCAAATTTCTCATAGTGTACAATCCAGTACAAATGACCAGGCAGTAAAATGTTGATAAAAGTGAGATCATGTAAACCACAGTTATTATGCGTTCAAGAAAGATCATGCAACATTTCTTTTTATTTTTGTTTGTCTGTTGCAGTCATGTTAAATCCTGAATTTGTTTCCTCTTGGTTTATAATGAAGTCTGCTATCTCCCCATGTTTTAGCAAAGAATAACCAGTAACATGGTACCATCAGAATCTATATTACATGTACACCAGTACAGGTACTGGTATGGGCGTGGCTATGGGTCACGGCGAATTGTAAAAGGTAGGGTAGATGGACACGGCTACACACACACATACATATATATTGAAATTAACAGTTTACGTGAGATTGATAATAATTTTTTATTCACGTGTTATGAGAATCAAAATTCCCATGACATTTTTATGTTTCTTTTATTATGTAGATTATAAATTGGAAACTACTCATGTTTGAACAAGATACCCAAAAAACCTTTAAAATCATAGTTCTGAACTGGGTATGGATTGAAATGAACCAGTCCATTAAGTTTCAGGAAGTTAGCGTGAAGTGTAGGATAAACGTCCAAAAACTGTATGATGAATTTTTAAATGAAAACATGTATTACATAACTAAATACACGTTTGAAACATAAGCGTATATTCAAGGAGTGTCCAAGGAGCGACGATGTTCGATACAGGTACGATACATGATAGAAGTGTCCAAGGAGTGTCGGTGCCTGATGCATACATACATGATAGAAGTCCCAAGAGTGTCCGAGGAGTGTTGTTGTCCAGTACGTATCAGATATGAGCACTGTTTTAAATATCAGCCGATAATCGATATTATCGGCCGAGTTATCGGATTTGGGAGCTCTCCGATAGGATAACTTGGATTTTTAATCGGTTATCGTTTTTGGCAAGTTATCGGGGAGTTATCGGCGTTATCGGTACTTATCGGCCGATAAGTAAGGTTTTTTTATCGGGATTATCGGCCGATAAGTAAGGCTATGCAATCGAATAGTTTCATCGTGCAGTCAAGATGCAAGTTTTGCTTTCTATAATTGGTTAGTGATTCTAAACATGATGATTTACATTTTGGTATGTTTATATTTCATTAAGTATGGTTAGATTATATTTTTTAGTTATCATATTATATATATACATCATCCAGTATATCACTCCGATAAATACTACTTATCCCCGATATATCCCCGATTTCCGCTATCCGATAAGGATTTTGGCCGTCCGATAAATCCCCGATAACCGCTATTTAAAACCTTGGATATGAGTACGGCTTCATGATAGAAATTCCCAGGTAACATAAAGCAGAATAAAACGTAGCTTAAAACAGACATGATGATTATGCATTTGGCAGAAAGCAGAAAGAGATAGCAAGACATGATTTTCATGAAAGACAATCTACAAACAGAAATATTAAAAAAAACTCGAAGTTACGAAGATTTGATCAGAAAATAGTACTTATATGCTGCAGTTACAGCGCCAAGTATGAACATATAAACATACTTGGGCACAATCTAAATAATAAAGTGCACCGTGCATTAGAAAACTCACACTCCGGATGTTAGCAAGGTTAGTTCCACCTCTCCCCACAACCTTGCTCACTGCATGTGAAGGAATCACCACCTCCGTGAATGGGGTCATTCTGCACAAAGAAACAAGCTCAGTCATCAGTAGTGGACGAAGCAGCGTCATTTACATAAATAAATTCCGGGATTGGGGGTTAGATTTCAGCAGCTGGGTCACAGTGTACTTCTAATAAGTTACAAAATATTTGTACTTTTTTAAAATAAATCCCATATGAAATGAACTTGAGGTGAACTATTTTTTGTGTGTTTAGTTTTCATGCCCTCTCCACATGAACAATTATTGTGTCGATACATGCCAAAATTCTAGTTTAAAGAATTGTGTATCTGGTTGTTGATGGAAATAAACTATATGCACTTTTTTATGGACAACATTAAGAGGGAACATCCGAGGATTATTTCAAGTGAAGGAACAAAAGGAAAAAAAAATCTGGGGCAGCATGTTTGTCAATATTATAAATATACAAAAGAATCTAGGCAAAGCCCATATAATAATTAAAAACATACCCTCCTCCATATGCTTTTGATGAATAGGATGAAAGGGATCCATAGCCTTTCTCTCCAGCCTAATAAGAAAGGCAACAGATATATAAGTTATCAGAGACTCAAATTCTTTACAATTGCAAAAGCTACTGAAGATGAACACAGAATACCTGTAAAGCGCCATATCCATAAAGACTGCTAGCAGGAACCATCCCAAAGCTGCCTCCAGTTTCCACCCTCTGATCATAGCCCAAAGAAGCAGCTGATGGAACACTAGGCAATATTGGAGGCCCAGATAAACCCCCGGAGTATACAGAATCAATAGATGGAGCATTAGTTTTTCCAGTTCCATCCCTTTCTTTCAGAACATCCTCCCTTAGTCTAAGAGTAATTTGGAGAAGTGCATCTCGTAAATTGCCTACCTCCCCAGTTACCTACGGATAAGACACAGAAGGAAGAGAGGAAGAAGAAATTTAAATATTGCAGTTTATGTAAACAAAAATTAACAAGGAGAATGAACATAAGAACTGGCTGCAAACCTCAACAAGCTCATCACTGGAAGAAGCACACTTCGGCTTTTCACCTTTTGAGATGCGAATTTCAGCCTTAGTCCTCTTGCGCATGTCATTTACAATAGAACCATTTTTTCCTATTAGACATCCAATGACCTTAGTGGGAACAAGAAGACGAATATTGACAGTTTTGTCACCCTCATCATTTATTTGTTCTTGAAGTAACAAAATAGCTTCCACAGCAGCCGACTTTTCATCATTAGTAGACTGCACATGACATCAGAACAAAGTCAAAGTTAAGAAGGATTATCATATACATGTTTCTGTGTAAGAAAAGAAATGAGCGCGTTCGTATCAGACTAGAAGTCACTCAATCTTACCTAGGATAAGATGAGAGAATTAATTAAGATGGTTTGGCCATGTAAATCAGAGGCCAATAAATGCACTAGTTAGGAGAATCGTAAAATTATAGTTAATGGAGCAAAGAGGACTAGAGGTAAACGTAGAGGAACTTGGTTAAAACAATTAAGAAGGATATGATAATCATTAAGTAAATGGAGGAGATGACCCATAAATGAATGGTTAATTAGGATTCATGTAGCCGACCACAAAAATTTGGGATAAAGGCATTGTTGTTGTTGCTATATGTTTGTGCGCGCGCGCGCGTGTCTGTGTGAGAAAGAGACCTCTTTGGATGTGACTGTTATTAGGCACTCTTCAGATTTGTTCTTTGTGTCATCAACATCAACACGTGCACCACTAGCTTGCCTTATATTTCTAACAACACTCCCTCCTTTACCAATAACACGCCCAATCTTATCAGAGGGACACAACACACGGATTACTAGTTCCCCAGAACGCTCCGAAACACCATAGCTCGAAACAACTGGAAGGGCAGATGGATACACCGGCCACGCACCAGAAGCGTTATTATAACCATGAAGCTCTGAAGGGTGGGGAATTGTAGGAACAGAACCATGAGGCGCAATACTCGGAAAAAAGTCACCAGCTGTATAAATTGGTACATCTGCCGGGATTATAACATTAGAGGGAAGCTGAGGAACAGTGGTATCAAGTGAAATATCTTCCTTATGAGGGAAATTGTACATGACAGCTGAAACACAAAATAGAGCATTCTTTACTGCTTCAGCATCACCGGATATCTGCACAAACACATCAAGATAAAAGTAAATTAGAAAGAAATGTAAACCAGCACTTGTTTAGCTGAATGAGAAATAGAGCATGTGAAGCTTAAAGAAGAGCAACTGGGCTAGTGTTAGCCTGAGCATGCAAAAAGACATGCAATCTGTAAAATCAAGAATTAAACTTTTGTGTTCAAGCAGAAGCATCTGCCCTAAAACATAAATAGAGATCAAGCTGGTACACAATTTTATGGAGTAAGGGGGTATTCAGTTGAACATTTTTGACAGGTAAAATGGACTACAGCTGTAAATCCACCGGAATAAACACGACATATTTTAAACAGAGATGAGCAAAATCTAGCGTTTCAAGTAGAAACTAGAGTGCTCCTCGGAGTTTATGGTAGAAATTTGGCCCTGCCTTCCCGTAAATATTTTCCAACCATGAAAAGGATGCAAGTAAATAGAGGCAGGGAGAACAATTTGCATGTACAAAATATTTGAGTTTATTTTTAATATAAAGAAGCAAAATGGTAATGATGAAACAACTTTCAATATGTCAATATTGGCTGAAAATAAAGGAGAATCAGCAGACTGCAAAATAAATGATAAAACACCAAAAGAATAGTTTAATAAGTTATCCCTTTTACTCCAAACTCATAGACTTCGGAACAAAAAAATTATGAGGACAATGATAAACAACTAAACCTTATAATAAATCAATTTATAAAGCATGCCCAATACCCAGAACAACACCACTAGGGAATATTATTCCTTGTTGTGGTTCATTAAATGGTAGAGCTATGCAGATTTTACCTGGAGAAAGTTATCAAAACTCAAAGCGCAAGAGTGGGTAGCATTACTGGAATCCTTTGGGATGACCTTGATGTTAGCACCGGTCTTTGCTCTCATTTTCTTGATAATGACCCCAGATTTGCCAATAACAGTTGACGCTTGGCTAGATGGTAGAAGAATTTCGGCTTCTTCTTTGTTGTCTCTGCTAGAATCTTCAGTATTGGCCAAGGCATTGAGTATAGCTTCGTGGACTTTTAGCAGAGCATCTTGGGCAGCGCAGAGAGGCACCAAGTCATCCAGGTCCTCGTTAATATCAAACATAGGGTCTCTATGCTTGTCATGACAGCTTATGTTAATAACTCTTTTTTTAGCACCAGGGAATGGATCAACAACCTTGATCCTAGCATTTGTATCTTGTCTCAGCGAATTAATCACTTTGCCACCTTTTCCAATTACACTTCCAATAACAGCATCTGGGCAAAGTATTCGGTAGAGAATCAGTTCACCTTCACCAGAACTCTCCCTATCACCGGATCTCCTCTTCTGATTTTTGCTTTCACGGTCACCATCCCTCTGACGAGAGCGCTTGCCAGTATCAACCATAATTTAGAGTCAATGATAATCCTGAAAACAAAAGACCATATGAGTAAAAGACTCAAAGACCAGAATTCAAGTATAAATAAGTACAGCTTTTTCTTAAAACATGGAATAGACAACACAGGCTAAAGGTTCTTAGAATTTAGAAATAGCTAATAGCAATGTTTTAAATAGCGAGCGCATGCCTGCCTAGGCCTAGGCGGTAACCTAGGCTGGCTGCCTAGCTCTTGGAAGTGCCTAAGGGAGCATGGGCCGCTAACGCAGACAGCACCACTTAGGTCTTGGTCGTGATTCCCCCCGCTGCAGCCTCCACGTCCTCTAAACACCTCTAGTCTCCTCCATTAACTATGGACACCTCATCCACCTCCTCCGACTTTCAAAAAACCTCCACCGCCACTTAAACAAAGAAAGAAATCTGCCTAATAGGCAGCCTAGCGCTACACGTAACCTTGGCTAATAGAAAGACAATACTATAGCAAATGATTGTCTGACGCATATAGCATATGCCAAGAGCATAGAGCAAAATAACTCAAATAAATTAAGGCTCAATAGCATGCATTATAGACCAATAACAAAAGTATACAAACTGGAACCAGAATTTGAAGTGTTGACTACTGATAGACCTAAACAAAAGGGATGAAGGCCTATATAAAAAGAAATTACATTTATCATGATTCAACTAAGAAGACGGGCATCAAGGCTCTCCGGCAATTAAATGTTTTCTAAATAAATGATCCTATAAAGAATTAAAAAAAATTAAACTTTTTCGAGTTCCAGGTGACATTCAGTAATAATAGCAAAGAAAAGATCAAAAATTTAAATCTTACAAGGAGATTGAGGAATAAAGATATTGAGAACTAGGGTTCCGAATCCGAGGATGAATGAAAGACCTTGAGAAATCAAGAAAGTGAAATCGAACGGCCACGATAAAACCCTAATCCCTTAATTTGTTTACAATGAGGAAAGGAGAGGAGCAGTACCTGAAGAGAGAGAGAAATTAAGCGAATCAAGAAGCAAAACCCTAAAAAGTAGAAGGAGGCTTTTTTGGTCGTCGTAAGGAAGGCAAAAACGTTTATTGAAGTTTTATAAAGAAATAGCCAACGGGGGTCACGCGGGGATGTAGCTCACATGGTAGAGCGCTCGCTTTGCATGCGAGAGGTACGGGGTTCGATACCCCGCATATCCACCATCTGGACTTTTCTTTAAGGTTATTGCTTATTATTCCTCTTTAAATTTTGCTTGTTTGGGATTTTATTCCCCCTTCCTTTCTATTTCTTATGATACCATGACACCAAAACCAAATATGCATAAATATTATATCTACAAATAAAATATAGCCAACAGAAGTGTCATGCTAGAATTCAACAATGGTTACTGTAACATTTTCATATGTTTATGGTAAAACAATATTATATGAGAAAGTTTGCACAATCCTTGGTATCGAGAGTGGTCTAGCGGGAGGAGGGTTTGTGGTTAGGAGGAATTGATGTCGGCATATCGTATTGATTGACAATCGTAGCAACAAAGCAAAGACCCAATTACCAAAGAGAGCGGAGAGATTTCAAAAGAATTTGGTAGAAGTTACAAAGATTATATAGAGATAAGAGTAATGAAAATTGGGTAAACGGTTTGGGTTTGGCCCATTTAGTATTTAGTCTCAAAGATATGAGGGGTTGGTTCAACAAAATCTTAGACTAAATACTAAACTAGTGTGCACCCTGTGCAAAACACGGCACCCTTTTTTTTTCGCTACAATAATTTTTTGTAAGAGATACAGCGGTTTTTTAAAATGTCACAGCATTTCTGCTTTATGCTACAGTGATATTGCTGTAGTATTTACTGTAGCATTATTTGTTGGGACAAACCCGGGGCCCAATAGAGCAGGGTCGCAGCAATAGTAAAGCAAAAGTAGAGATAAAATAATAGACACACAGATTTACGTGGTTCGGCACTTGATTGCCTACGTCCACGGGCAAGGATAGAAGAATCTACTATGAGGAGAAAACTCTGGAGTTATAATCTCTCTTTCTAAGGAGATACTCTCTCTATTTTTTCTCTCATACTCTTCTATATAAGAAGAAGTTTCTAGGATGAGATTTTCCTTAAGGATTTGGAGCCTATTTATAGTTTTTGGAAAAACACTATGCATAATAAAATATTAATATTTTACTGTGCATTTCTAAAATCTTCAAACTTCACGGCTGCTTTCGGTGTGATAATTTGAGGTGGGTCCCACTCCTTTTGTTTTCTTTTATAATTGTCAACAATTGTGGGCTTAGTGGATTCACATGGGCGGCTGATTGCTGACAATGACTATACTGATAGGCATTAGTGATATATGCATGAAGACATTAGTGACAACATGTGTGGATAGATGTGTTATAATCAGGATCTTATTTATGTGATGAAGCTCTGTACAGATGTACCCTGTAAAGTTGAAATAGAAATAATCATTTTGTTGGAATTACCCTTCTTTATGGGGTTTAACTAACTTATGGTTTGAATAGAACTTAAGAGTAAGTTATCTCAGCACAATCACAAACAGTTTTGAAACCCAGCTTACAGCTCCGTCAGCAAGTGCAAACACATAACCTGTGGTGGATTTGCTATTATCACGATCACCTGCATAATCAGAATCAACATATCCACTGACAATAAAATCAGATCCCCCATAACATAATGCAACATTTGAGGTTCCTTGAATGTATCTTAGAACCCTCTTTACAGCATTCCAATGCTCTTTACCAGGATTCGCCATGTATCGACTAACCACTCCCACTGCTTGTGCAATGTCTGGTCTTGTACAAATCATCGCGAACATTAAGCTTCCCACTGCTGATGCATACGGTACTCGAGACATCTCCATCCTCTCTTCTTCACTGCTAGGACTCATACTGGAGGATAACTTGAAATTAACAGGAAGTGGGGTAGAAATTGACTTATAATCTTGCATGTTAAAGCGTCGTAAGATTTTCTTCAAATAGTTCTTCTGAGAAAGCCAAATCTTCCTATTAACTCTGTCTCGGTAAATTTGCATTCCTAGAATCTTGTTTGCAGATCCTAAATCCTTCATTTCAAATTCCCTAGCCAACTGAGCCTTTAATTCTTGGATATGATCTTTGTTGGGGCCTGCAACCAATATGTCCTCAACATACAACAATAAGATAACAAAGTTATTTTCACCAAACCTCTTGAAATATGCACAAGGGTCTGAATTAAGTCTGTTGTATCCAAGGCTCATGATGAATGAATCAAATATCTTATACCAACACCTCGGCGCCTGCTTTAGACCGTACAGAGATTTGTTCAATCTGCAAACCAAGTTCTCTTTTCCTTTTTCTTCAAAACCTTCTGGTTGAAGCATGTAAATTTCTTCTTCAAGATCTCCATGAAGAAATGCTGTTTTCATAGCCAGGACTATTCGGACTGTTGTTAGTCGCACTACAGGAGAAAATATTTCATTAAAATCAACACCTTCTTTCTGAGCATATCCTTTTACCACCAATCTAGCACGATATCGCTCCACCTGATCATCGCCGTTTCGCTTGATCTTGTAGACCCATTTGTTTCCAATGGTCTTTCTTCCTTGTGGTAGTGACATAAGTTCCCAAGTCTTGTTTTTGTGGAGAGCTTCAATTTCTTCCTGCATTGCTGCCATCCATAAAGATGCATCTGTGCCATTTATAGCTTCATGAAAAGTTGATGGCTCTACATCTTCTGTTAGAAGACAGTATGCAACATTACTCTCCGTAATATACTCCGAGTGCCAAGTCGGTGGTCTTCTCTCACGAGTTGACCTTCGAACTTCTGGAGCCTCGGCCTCGACTGGTTCTTGTACATCATGCTCCGGTGTCGCTTTAGAAGAATTCAGATTATCTTCTACCTGAACAGTTACAGTCTCTGAGTCCTTCCTCGAACTGCTTTCTTTCTCTTCACTTTGTAGTTGGTTCTCTACAAAGATAACATCTCTGCTGATAATAACCTTACGGGCAGTGGGATCCCACAGGCGATACCCCTTTACTCCATCAGCATACCCCAAGAATATGCATTTTCTGGATTTTGAATCCAGCTTTGTAATTTCTTGGGCATTGTACATTACGTACACTGGACATCCAAATATATGGAGGTTAGAATAATCAGCTGGCTTGCCAGTCCACATCTCCATCGGCGTCTTCAATTGTATTGCAGTTGATGGAGATCGATTCACCACATAACAGGCGGTTTTTACTGCTTCCGCCCAAAAGACTTTTTCCATATTTGCAGTAGCCAACATAGCTCTTGTTCTTTCCAACAGAGTTCTGTTCATCCGCTCCGTCACTCCATTTTGTTGAGGAGTATAAGCCGTATTGAATTGTCTTTTGATGCCTTCATGCTTGCAGAATGCTAGGAATTCACCGTCTGTGTATTCTCCTCCATTATCTGGCCTTAAGCACTTGATCTTCTTCTCAGATTCAAGCTCGACCCGCGCTTTGTAGGCTTTAAAGACTGAGAACACATCCGCCTTCTTCTTGATAGGATACACCCAACATCTCCTGGAGTAATCATCAATAAAGGACACAAAGTACTTTGCTCCTCCTAAGGATGTAACTGGTGCTTGCCATACATCAGAATGAACCAGTTCCAGAATAGCCTTGCTTCTAGAACTCGATGTGTTGAACTTCAGTCGATGTTGCTTGCTTGTAACACAATGCTCGCAGAATGGAAGAGCTACCGAATTAAGTCCAGGAAGCAGTTTCTGATCGGAGAGAACCTTCAAGCCTCGTTCTGACATGTGGCCTAGCTTGCGATGCCACATCATGGTTTGTTCTTCTCCACGGCTGGTTGATGCCACACATGAATCAGCTTCCTGCAGAGTCTCTCCCTTGAGCATGTACAGATTTGCAGCTATCTTTTCTCCTTTTATCACCACAAGCGCCCCTCTAACAATCTTCATGACTCCATTTTCTATATGAGTCTTGCACCCGAGCTCATCTAATTGTCCCAAAGACAATAGATTCTTCTTCAAGCCCTTCACATGTCGCACATCTTGAATGGTGCGTATTATACCATCAAACATTTTGATTTTGATAGTACCAATACCACAAATCTCCAAGGCATGATCATTCCCCATGAATACAGATCCTCCTGAGATAGGTTCATATTTGTGAAACCAATCTCTCCGAGAGGTCATGTGCCAAGAGGCTGCTGAATCTAGAAGCCAGACATCAGCAAACTTCTTTCTGCCTTCATCAACAGTGGTTGCTCCACTGAATAGAATTTCACCATCCTCTGACGTGCTGACAATGCATCCTTGAGATGTTGATGGCTCTGAAGACTTTTTATCTCCACTCTTCTTGTTGTGCCAACACTCCGATTTGACGTGCCCTCTTTTGCCACAGTTGTAGCATTTGATATTCTTCTTACTTCGTGATTTCGATCTACCATGGGCATGACTCCCACTGGAGCCACGTTCTGTTGATCTTCCTCTCGTCACCGACAAGGCCTCCGCTTGCTGCGAACTTATCTGCCTGTCTTCCTTGTTCTTGCGTCGATTTTCTTCCTCCAGAACAGCGACTGCAACATCGTCGAAGACTAGATTGTCCGTGAGGACGTTGTTCGTCAGGTTGATGATGAGTTGATCATACGAGTCAGGTAGACTCTGAAGTAGAAGTTCTGCACGTTCATTCGCACCAACTGTATATCCCAACGTTGTGAGTTTGGAGAACAGTGTGTTTAGGGTGTTGATGTGATCGGTCATCGATGTAGATTCCTCCATCCTCAGAGTGTAAAGTCTCCTTTTTAAGAAGATTTTATTGTGCATGGATTTCGCCTCATATAGCTTTGTTAGAGTATCCCAGATCTCCTTTGTTGTCTTCTTCTCCTCTATGCTTGACAGCACCCCGTCTGCTAATGCCAGATGGAGATTTGCAATAGCATTTTCGTCCATCTCGTTCCACTTCTTATCATCTGTGATGTCGTCCGGCCTTGCACCGATGGTCGCCAGGCAATTATCTTTTCTCAATATAGCCTTTATCTTCAACTTCCACAGTGAGAAATTACTCCCGTCGAATTTCTCGATCTTGAACTTCGCCGCCATTGCTTCGACCACGAACAGTAACTTCTTACTAATTCACGTAAATAGTACTGTATTTATGAATAGTAACCGTATCCGTGAATAGTACCGTACTTGTGAATAGTACCGTATTTGTGAACAGTACCGTACTCGTGAATAGTACCCGTCACCTCCAAAGGGTAAGTGATAACCTAACTTATTTTCTGATGTGGAGGATCCACCTTTTAATTTTATTCTTGTATGATTTGAATTGTTGGGACAAACCCGGAGCCCAATAGAGCAGGGTCGCAGCAATAGTAAAGCAAAAGTAGAGATAAAATGATAGACACACAGATTTACGTGGTTCGGCACTTGATTGCCTACGTCCACGGGCAAGAATAGAAGAATCTACTATGAGGAGAAAACTCTGGAGTTACAATCTCTCTTTCTAAGGAGATACTCTCTCTATTTTTTCTCTCACACTCTTCTATATAAAAAGAAGTTTCTGGGATGAGATTTTCCTTAAGGATTTGGAGCCTATTTATAGTTTTTGGAAAAACACTATGCATAATAAAATATTAATATTTTACTGTGCATTTCTAAAATCTTCAAACTTCACGGCTGCTTTCGGTGTGATAATTTGAGGTGGGTCCCACTCCTTTTGTTTTCTTTTATAATTGTCAACAATTGTGATCTTAGTGGATTCACATGGGCGGCTGATTGCTGACATTATTTACTGTAGTATGAATAGCGAATCTTTGGATCCTCCTATAAATATAGAGGAATAGATATAGCTTTGTGGGGATAGTGGGGTCAATTGACCCCATTACCCCCACCGTGAATCCGATAACAAATTAGCTTGGATTCAGAACGTGTCCACGTCTGATTGGATCTAGCACGGGTATGACATTTTATACGTTCACCGAGCTTGGCCATGAGAATTTAAGATGACATTCGAGTAGCAAAGCAACTCAGGTTCCAATGCTAGCATAGCTCCTATATATTTAACACATGTTCGCACGTATGAACCTCAATTTTGTCATCAAGATCCATAATCATCTAAAAATACAGGCATTTAAAATTAAAATGGTCTCATGACATCAATGATCGCTTCAAAGGCATTTGGGCCATCTCCCATCTCTCTGTTACTACATCGAACATTATCACAGGGAGGATCTCAGCCTACCACCTAAAGTTTGGACATGGCTTCGGGTGATTTCTTTTACAGTGGAGCATCCAGCTAAGGCCATGGTGAGCTCCAACTCGCCGTTGAGCATTTCAATTACTTTCCTCACTCCATTTCCCCCCTGTGCTGCCAGGCCGAAGACCACAGGTCGTCCAATCTGCAGCATAATCGAAAAATGAATGAGCAATAATGTGAGCCCCAACATGGACAAACATAGTTTGATACGACAATAACTACACCAGTGTTGTGTTTTAATGTTTGTTTTTTCATTATCTGTCTCAAGCCAGGATATAGGAGGACTACTGAGTAGGTTGTTGAGTGCGAGCGCAAAACTTAGTCGAATCTACATGATATGAATCCTAAAATCCTTTATAGAATTGAATGAAAGAATAGTATCCATGTAACATGTCTATATAGTATGTATAATTTTGAGTCCGGGACAAAAGAAGAAAGGGAGAAGGTTCTCGGCATGAACATTAAATTCAACAAGATAAATATGTGATCCATGTTGAATATATTCGAGACCACTAAATTCAACAAGGTCTTAAGGATTAGAGGGTGCAAAAAGAGCATTTTAGTTCACAAGATAAAGCAGAATGAAAATGATAGAGAAGGCAGCATGCATAAATACCATGACAGCTTTTGCACCAAGCGCCAAGGCCTTGAAAACATCGGTGCCACGACGAACTCCTCCATCGAGTAGCACAGGAATCGCTTCTGAAACAGCTTGGACAACCTGAGAGTGCAAAATACATTACCAACGATTTGGCTACTTACATACCTACAATTTTTTATTTCGGGAACTAATTTCAAAGTATGAAATATATGGGAAGAATATCAAAAAACACTGAAAAAAAAGACAAAAACATACCACAACCCAGGAAAATCCTTGTTGTGTATTCTTAGAGTATTAGGGCATTGCTCAGAAAAACTTGATATTATGACTGAAAGAGAGAAAAACTTTACCTCCTCAACAACAGAGATTGGAGCTGGTGAGTAATCAAGCTGGCGAGCGCCGTGATTGGATACAATTATTCCTGAAACACCTGCTTCTACTGCCTTTCGAGCTGTTCATTTCATTTAGCATCATATGAAACATAATACGATTTTAGTTTTCTAAGGTGATTTGTGACTGAGACAGTGATTTAATAGAAAAGGGGAAACTTTCGAGAAAAGTTACTCTTACCATCTTCTCCTGTGAGTACACCTTTGAGTAGAATCGGTAAGGCTGTAATAGATTTCAGCCATTGTATGTCCTGCCATAAATCACATATAACCAGAAACTCTGATTCTTGAAAAGATCAAAAAATTTTATAGACTAACCTTATATTATCAAAACAATTGGCACTAGTCTAATAGAATAGCGAAACATTTATAAGCTTACAACAAGAGATATATATTTCTATTGGAACAAAGTACACACCTTCCAACTCAAAGAAGGATCAAAAGTTTCATCAGCAAATGCTTCAAGATTTGAGCCATCTTTCTACAGCATAGAAGAGGAAACACGTTCAAAAAATGTGACGTGGCAACTAATTATGCTGATTTCTTTTTATTAGTGCACAAATTAAGTTTTCCGATAATTTACATGATTCCATATGACTTGAGCATGAATAGGAAATAAATAGAATAGTTTTCCAAATTGTTTTAGTATGTTGCGGCTAATAGTACACCCTCAGTTGAGCATGTAAGTTGTACTATAGCCTTCCTATAAAAAACAGAAGAGGACCTTAAATAGCGGATAGTGACACTAAAACCCTCCGTATAGTAGGATTCGATACATAAAAAATAAGCATTGCATACAACAGAAAGTATTAATGGACTGTTCTACTCACAGAATTGATATCCACTGACAATAATTCATAGTTTGCCACCTTTGGTATTATCATCCTGCAAGATAACTCATATTGAAGCAGTAGTTATCAAAACTAACATCTAATTTGTTAGAAAGGAAAAAAATTTGTTTTATACAAAGATCTTTGTTATAGCATGCACAAAAAGGGAATGTAGAATTTCTCACAATGGATACTTATGTTTGCGCAATCTCCAATTTCTTCAATAACTCACTAACAGAGAACTTAGTGTACTGCATTATTTCAGATTATGTATGAGCACGTTCAATATTTTTTTCACTTTATGGTTTGTTGTTAGTTTATTGAACTATGATCCCCATAAACGATTGAAAACTATTACAGCACAATTAGCCATCAAAAGGATTCCAATTGATAAGAATTACTTATTTTTTATGTCTGCTTCTCTTCGTCCTAGCCTTGGAGTATCAACTGTTAGAACAATAGCCTTGAATCCGCTTCTTTCAGCTCTCTTGACTATACTTTCTGTGACATCTCGTCTTCTATAAACCTACAGTAACTAGAAGAAACCTATAAACACCAACAATAGGCTAAAGAGAGCCACATGAACACTAGATAGAAGAAAGTTTGATCTTACGTATAACTGAAAGAAACGAATGGCATTGCAGCTCGAAGCAACCTCCTCAAGCGTGCAAGTAGAAGAAAAAGATAGCACCTGACATTGGAAAGAGATTTAACTGAAATCTCACAAAACTACCATGAAGTTTGTTTGCACAGAACTAGCATAAACTGCGTTTATTGGAGAAAACTATCATGAATTTCTTCAATTAAGCGCGTGGCATATTTTGGACAATTTTATCTCAGTCCTTTGCATATCTTTTATACACTGCATGTCTGAACTTGATGGCTTGACATATAAATAAGGGTAGTTTAGGCCTGTTGTTCAAGATGTTAATGCCATTAATAACAATTTGTGCACAACCCCCATGGTAATTTTGTGAAATTATCCTAAATTTAACAAAGCAAATATGTTAAAATTCAACTTAACAAGAACAGTACCATTATCGAGTTACATGATGCTGCAGCTCTCGCAGTTGCTATCTCTCCTAAGCAACAAAAGGATTGAGTCATTAATCAAAAATACATTCAATATTTACACAATTCTCTAGCAAAGATAATTACCTTCTGGATGTGCTAATTTGTGACTTCCAGTAGGAGCAACAATGATGGGTGAATGCAGATCATATCCCAATAAATTTGTTGACATGTTTATGTTTTTAACATCAAGAAGAACTCTTGGTCTCAACCTGAAATTCCATGATAAACAAATTTGAATAAAACATAGAAATTGCAACGAGTATTCCCGGGAAAAAAGGCTTCAAAGTAATTGAAGAAAAGGAGTAACATAATTCTTTGAAATCCTTTGATGTTCTCGTCCAAAGAATATTGATCTTCTGCTCCTCCTTTGAAGTAATCATAGTACATTTTTGGGAGTTTTTGTCTGGCAAGCTCTTGAAACTCATTTATAAAAAATTTTTTGTTTAACATTAGAAATGCGGACATGTAATAATTATAAGTAAACAATACTTACAAAATAAAAGGAAGATGTTTGATATATCATCCATAACTTTGGTGGACTTGTCTAATTGGTGGATGTATATTAGTAACGGGATGCACAAAATCCCGAAGTATGTAATTTAAAAACCATCGCATTTTCGAAAATTTCTGGGGGTGGTTTTCATCTCTTTCTCGTGCCATATTTTAGATTCGGCGGCTACGAGAGAACTTTTTCAATATAAACACTTACCCTGAGCTCTCAAAAAATGTAGCATCTAATCCATACTTTCCGGTACTCTATTTTGATATTTTCATTTAAGTTAGCTAATTAATCAACATATCAATACATATATGTACCTGTTTATTATTCCACAATTGAAAAGGATGATCACATTCAAAGATTTCTTGATTAAAAAGAAACCCACATAACTCGTTCAAGTGGAGATCTTTCAAGCTAAATTCCTACCGCTAATTGTCTCTACGAGTGAATTGTTCAAAGAAGTAACAATCTTAAGGACTTTTTGATGTGAAACGGGACATGGGGTCTATCAGAATCAACGATTTAATTCAAATAAAATATCGTTTCACCAAATTTCATGATATTAGGTAGGAAATTAAATTCAAAACAACTAATGTGACAGATGGATTAAACGAAATTTGCATCAATAGTTATGATTAATTCCATTCTCGATCAATTTAGCTGCAATATTCATTATCATGCTCAAGTTCTACAATCAATATCAAATTTAAACAGCTGCAATATTCATTATCATGCTCAAGTTCTACAATCAATATCAAATTTAAACAGTCACATGCTCAATTACTCTCAACTCACAAATATAATCTAATCTACAATCAATATCAAATTTAAACAGTCACATGCTCAATTACTCTCAACTCACAAATATAATCTAAGCACTGAATATATGATAAGAGTTTAGAGATGAAATACTCATGCAATTAACTAATAAAATGAGATTAACAAAAAAATAATTTATTGGGCTATCAAGTGGTGAGGTCGACGGATGAACTGGTGATGACAACGATGTCGAACTAGCAACGACGATGGCGGCGAACTGAGCGACGACGACGGCGGCGAACTGAATGACGACTAGGTCGACGCGGCTAGGGTGATGTGATGACGTGTGGGTAGGCGGCTGTGGAGGAGGAGGGGATCAGGGTCGGTTGTTGTTCGGAAGAGGGAATGACACAGGCGGTGGGCTTGGAGTTTTGCGGTTGATGTAGAGGAGGAAGGAGGGCAGGGAAGGGAAGGTCGGCGGCTTGTGGAGCAAGGGGCGGCGACTTCGTTGAAGGATACAAGGGTTTTTGACGGGCTATTTGTAGGTGGAGAAGCAGGGAGGAGCGACGGCTGTGTGAGATGGAGTTGGGGACTGAACGGGAAAGGGGGCGGTAGCATGTGGAGGAGGTGAAGGGCTGGACGCGACTGCTTGGGGAGGATTAGGACAGGGCTGTTTGGAGATGAGAACTCGGATGTCCTAAGGGGGAGGGGATAAGGGGAGCACGTGGCGTTTTGTGGGAGATTGGCGGCTATGAAGAGGAGAAGAAAAGTCGGCCTAGAGTTTCACACCCTCGGGCATCGGCTTCACACCAACATTCGGCTTCACACCAAAAATTAGCTAACAAAATATTTCATTCAATTCTTTATTTTTCTTTCATTCTGATTACAACAGTGCTTTCATAGAGCAATTACAAAATCTCTCAAAATCAATCAAATTCCTCAAATCACTCGGATACTAAAAACTGATTAACTACTAAACTTGACCCAAAATTTAAAAATTAAAATCCTACCAAAATAGAAAAACCCCTCGAATTTCTCATAATTAAAACTAAATTAAGATCTGATCAAACTTGTCAAATCTTCCTTATTCAAAACTAAAATAAAAGAAAGTCAAATAATAAATATGGAAATTGCTATTATTGTCCTCATCACTTTTCTTATACATTCAACATTCTGGCCCACTGCAGTTCCAGTATGCCTCCTCTTGGGTTCGATTCTCAGCTTAGTTTTTTTAAAAAAGCATTTTTTTATGGAGGACACGGGCATCTAATAAGATAAACAAAGATGTGCGAAAGTACATCAACTATGATAATCAAATAAACATGTCAATCATTTGATTGAACACTTCAACTGAAGCTACAATTAAACTTTATAAACTTGGCAAAATCAAGCAGCCAAATTTTATCATGGACGCTATCAACTTACCAAGATTGAATCAGAGGAGTTTTGGGGCCGCCGTACTTGGTCCTTTTCTTTCCCGTTTCGGATGTTGCCAGCTCCAGTATCGTATCGCCAGCTGGGACCCACCAGTTTGTTTCGTTTATTTGTTACGGTTTTGGATCCGTCATTACGTTTGCAGAAACCAAGCCCAACAAACCATCGGATGCTGCTTGTGATTATCCTTATCCAATATTTCCATCCGGCATACCAGGGGCGTGCAAACCGTCGGTTCGGTTCGGTTTTTACCAAATTTTGAACAATCGAACTGAACCGTTGCAAGTCGATTCGGTACGGTTCGGTTCGGTTTGTTCGGTTCTAACTTTATCAAACTTGTTATCAAACTACATACTGTGTTAAGAAAAAAAAAGATATCAACAAAGTGGGAGATTATGAAACATTAAATACTGATATTGTTTACAACCCATAATGATTAAGGTCCTAAGACTCCTAATAGTTACAAGGAATGAACTCACGTCCATCCAAACAAAACGTAAGCATTTCTCAAGCACAAAATTTGAGTTCAAAAGTTTTATTCTTATGAGCACACTCCCCTATTTCCTACGATAACCAGAGTGTAACTTATAGAAAATAAGTTTATACTTATCGAGGCAAAGTGTAACTTAAGAGTTAAGACTATAACTAATATGATTTATTTATAAATTGCCAATTTGACACCAATAATCAAAATCAGTGCCTATTTTTAGTATTTTGAACTATCCAATAAACAAACGAGCAATATCAAACAGTGCATTAACAAAAAATAATACAAGGTTTACAGATATAGGCCTGTAATTATGATAACCAGAGTGTAGAAAATAAATAATTCACTATCAATATTAGCACAAGCCAAGTGTATAGACCTATAGGCATAAGAATCTGAGAGATCATATAATGAATTTGGGCATATATGATTAAGAGCTGCAAACAGATTTATACTTCGACAATAAAATAAAGAATTTAACATTAAGATGAACTTTTTGACAAGAAAGACCTATAAGGCTATGGAACCGAGAAATCATGTGAGATCATTGAGATGTAGAAGAATGATTTCAGTTTATACCTCGGCCTCAGCGACAGCGACGAGTGCGGGTGTCCCCCCCAAAGCCGGAGATAGATCCCGAGCCTAAGGAGATGTTTCGGCCTCGGCCATAAAGATTGCGGAGCGCGGCGGAGTGCCGAGCGGTTGGCGGCTGAGGAGTGAGAGAGAGGACTGAGGAAGTGAGGAAGAGGAAGTGAGAGAGGCGGAATTGAGGAGTGAGAGAGAGTGAGAGAGAGGACCTGAGGAGCGACGGCTGAGAAAGAGGAATGAGAGTTTACTTTAGAGTTTGAGACTTTGAGTCTTAGGGGATGGGTCGGGTTTGAGTGAGATTTAGAGCCGGTATATTTTGGACTATGGGGTATTCGGTCGGTTCGGGTTGAAAAGTTTTCAAACCGACCCGAACCGTCCTACCCATAAAACCGAACCGAACTGTTAATTTCGGTTCGGTTCGGTTCGGTCGGTTTTTTCGGTTTGGACCAAACCATGCTCACCCCTACATCATACCGTTTGCACAAACCAAGCCCAACAAACCATCGGATGCTGCTTGTGATTATCCTTATCCAATATTTCCATCGGATGTATACAGTATAGCGGACTAACAAAAAGGGTTAATTACGGAAAGCCCCTGAACTCTGGAGGAGTTGCATCGAACCCCCTCAAACTTTTCCCACTAACCCCCCTTGAACTTTAGAGTTACTGCACGTAACTCCCTAAACGCCAAGGTTCCTCATTACCTAACGTCTATAAGTTACCTAACATTTATAGGTTAAAACGCTAAATTTCTTTTTTTTTAAAAACATTTATAACCGAAGACCGAGCTTCAAATGGACATTGTTGCGTCCATTTTTTCTCGTCTCTCTTTCCTCCTCGATGTTGCATTCGGATCCAGGTGAGAAAAGGCAATGGTGTCTCGGTTTTCAATCGTGCAGAGAGTGTCAAAATTTCTAAATATTTCGCGTTTTTTTATTCAAATCGAGCAGTTTGTTGTACTCATCTACATACTTCTATGTTTTTTTTTTTGAGGAGCCGAGAGTCCCGATTGATGTCAGCAACATAGATGTGTCAACCTTGGGCCACAACTTGTCTTCACAAATTATTGTTGCCCGTATCCGAATGCACAGGTTAGCACGTCCACAAGGTATTAATCCATGCGAGAGATTTGATCAGTTACGAATTGAAACATAATAAGTTGGGTTTTCAAGATATTGGTCCTGCAAATTATCTAAGTTGCACTACAAACGTGGTGTCCCATTTCTCGGTCTCGGATATATGCAAATTGATCATTGTAAAACACGAGACATTGTAGACTGGTTATTCCTTGTTTCATTACATTGAGGATCTCAATCGATCACGGGGAGTTCGAACATGGCTCCTGCCGTGCCGATATCCTTTATAGTAGGGCAGCCAGTGAGAGTCATGGTGAGCTCTAGCTCACTGTTAAGCATTTCAATGACTTTTCTTACTCCTTGCTCTCCCTTTGCAGCTAAGCCAAATACCACTGGCCTTCCAATCTACGCAAAAAAGAGAGAAATATACAGGAAACTGTCACTGTTGAAACTTGAGATATCAAGGCGAGAGTAGAGTGATTATAGAGATGAGAGTATGTAAAAGGTATTAGAGCATACCATCACAGCTTTTGCACCAAGTGCTAAGGCCTTGAAAATATCAGTTCCGCGACGAAACCCTCCATCGACTAGAACAGGAATTGCACCA